CACAACACACTATTTCCTATTTATTGCTTCTGTTGCATTTATTCCCATACTTATATTGTTAGTATTTTGCAGTGTGATTTGTTAAAAAAATAGTCTCTTCATTTTGTACAGACAAAGAAACGGTTAAGGTATGGACGTGTCAATATATTTGGACTTCGCCTCTGGAAATATACCTTATTCAAAGAAAAACGAAACTCTGAATGTATTATGTCTTTATACGTGTTAGGTTTTGCTTCATACTAAATGAACACGAGCAATCCATATATCTCAATGGATAGCAAAGGTTGAATCATTGCTTCGATTATTTGAATTGCTTCATACAATATGATTTGTCTACCAAGCAAGTTAAAGTATAAGAGTAGAATTATTCAGGAAACAGAGAAATAGTAACGATGGGTCAACAAAAAAGTACCTCTAACATGATATCAATAAAAACGTGGACAACATAGACCCATAAGCAGCGGGAGGACATTGAGAATGAAGGCAGGATTGAACGTAAAGCTCACGTATCATTCACTTGACGTATACCTATCAGATCGGCATCAAATGCTAAAGAGGAATGTGCAAAAAACCACTAGTCCTTCATATCGAGTTCATTTAGGTGTAATTACCAAAAGTGTGAACCTCCCCATCTCATTCTTTATTCACTTCCTTCAATCACTTTTGATTTCCCTTGGTTGCTTCATAAGCTTTACCGTTACGCACCACTGAAAAGCTCTAGAAGAACAAAAAAGCTATTCGCAGTTTTGTTAATTAAGCTATGCTGGAAATTCGTATTGAAAAAACAGTATTCACACGTGTGTTTTTGTAAAACGTCACTTGCCATGTGACTAATGATTGCAAGACATCCATTATGTAAACGAAGTTCGTGGTCTGCATCCATACATTTCATTTCGGTTAAGGTGCTTACGTTTAAGGGTAAATATGGACAAGTTCGATTTTATTAGTCTTGTTACATGTTTTGAATATGACCAATTTATAATTCGGTTTTATTTTAAGCTTACATGTAACCATAACAGCGATTATCTAGTAACTACAGCTGAAAAAGGAACACAATTGAAAATTGCCAGAATGATCTTACACAGAAAGGAAGTTAAACTAATATCACTGAAAAGATAAAAAGATCAAGAAACAATGCCGATACGTCGTATTAAACGACTGACATAATAAAGAATGCCAGAACAATAAAACGACAGAAACAAACAAGATTTCAGCGTGTAGTGCGGTCTCCTATTCACAGCAAATGCATTGTCTGTTAGACATCTCATGTTGCGCACTCTCTTCTACTTTTGTTTTGCTTTGCTTGCGAAATATGGAAACTATCTTGGATATGCATCATCATATTATTTAAAGGTATCGAGGTCGACATTGCCATATCAAAACGATAACACAAACATTATATATATATGGTTTTTTCATTCCCATGTTAATGACATACTTTATTTCATATGATATACAACTTCGATGTCTCTGTTTCAATTAAATGATATATTTTAATGTTTAAGTTAGATAATTCAATATTGACGTATAGCGTGCTTAACTCAGCCGAAGATCTGATCAAATAAACTAGGTCAAAAGTTTTGCTTCTGGTCTTGTTTATGGATGCATAAAACACGTTATCGTCAGTAATTTATTTGTTTCATGACATTTATGAGACATGTGTGTCATTTACGTAACAAAGCCTTTCCAGATAAGTGTACTTTTATTAAATATTCCCTTCCTAACAGTTGATACCTCCCGGCATCAATAATCGCCTGTTATCTGTATCGCTTTATCTATGCTGCCATCGTCTCGTTTCGTCGTTATTTGTTTTCCTATAATCATTGTGATGCTATCTTTAACAGAATCCTATTACCTCTTTATCTTGTGATGTAGAATCTCTCTCTTCGTGATAGTTGTTATTTGCCATTTTGATATGTTAAGTTTTGTTGTCATTGTCCCTTGTTCCTAGTTCCTACATATCCGTGCAGTTTCTAATCGTTTAGAGGTACTATTCTTTGTCTACCTGTCGACCATGACCAGTATTATATCATCTCTATGCAAGCCCTGTCATCACAGTCCTTTTATAACGATGGTTTTTGCCGGGTATGGCATATTTCTGCAGGTATCACTCCGTGTCGTGATGTAGCACCAATTCGTGAAACTAGAGTCGTGTAATGATGGTGGTATTTCAGCAATGTTACAGACCGTTGTTCCAGTAAATATTACTGTCGCTAACATTTGCACTTTGAGAACGATTTAAAATCTTCGGAATAACTCTCAAAATGTCTTGACGCTGAATTTTATTCACTTACAGGTTCCGTGGGCTGGCCGACTTCTAATGTACTATTACATACACGATACGAACTACACAAAAGTGCTGAACATCTTAACTTGAAATCTAAATGGCCGGCTCATTTATGAAAAAGTTAAAACTGGAGATATCCTATTGTCCCTATGTATATATCATGACATCTACAAACTCTAGGAGTTGATGAACTACTGTTAGACGTTTTTTAAAAGAACATGATGACAAGCAAACAATGTTTTTTTGTCATAGTTATTTGTCTCATCCAACAGAACAGGTTATTTCACTGATAGCTGTTTGACGAGTAGAATAGCTGCAAACCGATCTAATATTAGAACCAGATGTATGTTTCATGTCAAATTTCTATTCAATGTGGCAACATTGTCATCGTTAAGAACGATTATATCCAATCTATAGAAACTGGTTACGTGTTGTTTTAAAAGTAGCTTTTACTGAATTAACGATACGGTTATGCAGGTATATCCCGAGATATCTGTGACTTGTGTTTTACTTGAATGAAGCAAATAGTATTTTAAGAAAGGAAAACAAAGGTGGGATATCTTGAGGTACTCCTGTTTATGTATAAATGTCGGAAATCTTTGATTCAATTGGCTAACATTTACATGTGCTGCCATAGTGGATTATTAAGATTCGTTTTTGAACATGATTGCCCGTTATAACGGTACACCTTCAAGTGTGCTGTCGTTGCTTATGCAATTTTATATTCAATTGGAGATACATGAAAATAGAAATGATTGCAATTTGAATTTAAACTCTGAAAGCTGGCATTTGGTATGCAACCGTGTCATTTTATTAACGTCATATCGTTGTAAGGAGATCGATGAAGCGTGGTATTACCACCATTAGCCGCATTTCAATCGTTTAAAGATGATTGAAACTTTTTTGTAACTCTTTGATGTGTCAAGAAACCAAGCTTGGAACAAATTAACATATGAAGCTATGACGTCTACCAGTGTCAATGAACTTTCCATCTGCAGCTTCCTTATACAACTTATCGACTGCTTTAGTGCAATAGCTATTAATATTTTCTTATTGTAACCCGGTCTCTGCTATGGGTGAAGATAAATTTCATTTGGGTATTTTTGTTGTGGCTTCTGGATGATACAAACTTTTTCTGTTGTCAATTTCTGTATATACATATACCCAATGTTTGCTGTTAATTTCCTAACATAAGAAAATATCATTGTTTGTTGTACATTATCGTATCTGTTACAATGTTTATACTACAAATATGAGTTAACTCTTGTTTACTATTTCATATTTTGAAGACTAAGTGGAAGATAACATCTGTATAACAAGTTATTATTTTTTTTAATATTACTGTAGATGGGCAATCTTGTGCGGGCACACAAATAGACATATCACGTATGACCCTCAAAATTCGCTTGCGATAGATACGTAATGCTTGGAATAGCAATTTACACACCTATACTATCTTTTATGCCTGATTTGCATGAACAGTGACATTTTTCAATGTAGATAAACATATTACGGAATGTCTTCTTCGGGTCGCAATGCCAATATGGATAGAAGAAAAAAAAATGGCATGTCAATACGACAATCTGAATACGCCGCTGAATCGACTATGGTACTTTGTAAACATCTTACATACGTATTTTTTATATAATCTCTTTTGTAAACGCGAAACATAATTTTATACATGTACCTTAGTGTCCCAACTGTTAGACTTCATACAGTTAATTGCCTGATGAAAAATGACTTGTCGTCGGAACCTCACAAATAAATCTTTTCTTTACAAATATCTATTGAAATTCAACAAGTTATTTAGGATTTTGAACGATGATGGTACATATATATATATCTCAACGATATCCTAACTGACAGAATCACGGCAATGTGATCAGTTTAGGATGCCTGCGTCCTGTTTCGTAGATAACGATGTTTCATGTACATATATGTGTATCGTTTAGTACTTACACCTCAATAAACTCGAAAGGTAGGGCTAGTGTTTTTATTTCACATTCCTCTCTAGCAATGTTTAGTTTTCATTAGATGCCGATCCTAAAAATAAACACGTCTGATTGGTAAAACGTCGAGTGAATGATTCGTGAAATTAAACCATGTTGATGTTTCTTAGAATCTGGCAAGTACTTTTGTAAGTTTACATTGTGTTAATTATCGCAGATAACAACCACGCTTGTAGTTTGTTATGTAAATCGATGCATATCTCTCATGATTTTTTGTGTATATCACTACGTCACTTCATTCACTGCTACAAAAATGCATTTGAATGGTTTAAATGGTTAACCGTTAGTTAAAATCAATTTGAAGAGGTGAAGCTTGTGTTTTAAAGGCTCTGAAGTAAACAACGATTGTCTACCTGTATATCTTGTTCAATGGGGGTGTTTCTTTACCGCGGCGGACGATTCTTGCCTGCGGCAATAAAAAAATCAAGGTTTTTTTTCTCAAAGGTCATGGCCTTGGGTGCAGATTTGCCTTTTGATTAAATCAGCTTGAAAACACATTAAGCGCAAAGTTGTAATTAAATTGTATGGTTATCATTAAAATGTGTCTTACAAATTTTAGAATTTAGATTGCAAATGAATATAGCTTCATCCAGGGCAAATCTTGTAGATCCACAGAGTATTTAAATTTATATACATATTTATGTCTAACCTTTTATCTTTTATTTAATTGTAGACATCCTTGAAAGAACACGACTGATTCCGGTATGTGGTGGGGATCTATCACAAGAGCCTATTTTCTGACAATATGCCTCTTGGTCAACACAACGTATGGACTTACCATAGGGCATTTAGATCACATGACAGATCATTATCGGACTAAACGTTCAAATTCACCAGTTCCAAGAGTTTTCAATGGGAGAAATATGTTCACCCGAAGAGGACGGGAAATGCAGCAATCGCATGGAAGTCGCCCCAACTGTACGAGAAACTGTGGTCATAAAAAAGGACTTCAAACTCAGTTTAATGAAATGCTCCATATAGAGAGACTTAAAAATATAATTATGCGAAAGTTGGGTCTACAGATGAACGAAGAAGGAGATGTACAAACACCCTTCCACACACCACCCTTGACACGAAATTCTAACACAAACCCCAAATCAGAAAAAAGGAAAAGACAACACACTAAAAAGGAAACATCCTATATACGTGATTTCTCGGAAATCATTAGTTTCTCTGAAAAAGCAGGTAAGTGCAGTATGTACACGTTTAATATTTGTATGACTCATCTAGAAAATTGTCAATACTGCTATATTTGTCATTTCTGTGGCTACGGGTAAGTTAAGTATTACCTAAATTATTCGAGTGAATGCATTGTCGGTAAGTCAGTATCTGTTAAAGGTCTACCACCACGATAATGTCTCCTGTTATAGAAATAGAAAGTAACCTAGTAACTGCCACTTACCAGTTCACACCTTATTTCTACAAACCTTCTACTAAACGTGATATCTTTATGTGGTAATTGCTGATATTCACATGCACTATAAAACATATTTGTATAGCAACAACCAATTATTATCAAAGACTCATAAATTAACACTTAGCGAATAAGATCAGACGATCCGAAAGATTAAGCGTCTTTTGCTTCATAGACGACACTCGGCGTGTAAATCCAAGCACGTATTTCCCGTCAACAACGTTAATGGCAACGACGCCCACAGATATATGAAAAAAATTAGATACGTCCAACTTTATTTCGCATAAGGAAATCAAATATTTTCCTATGTGATTATTATGACGATTGTCAAAATTCATTATCATTTTAATCAACCTGGAAACCAATTGTTGTGGGCTTTTCTGTCGATAGATAATGCCTAGCACGAAAATTGTTTTATTGCGAATGAATATAGAATCACCTGTAACATGTTGCAAGTTGGAAACAATTATTATTCAGCTTGTTTCGATCATGTTAGTTACCTCGAATATCCTTTCGCTCAAAATCTGTTTGGAACATTTTTGGGTCGATATTGATAATTCCACGGAATAGCATTTGAGTTATGAAGCATTTATACACCCGAGTTATGTATTCGTCAGAAGAAATGACTTTTAAGTAACTATTGTTCTTATCGCGGTACTGTCATCCCAGCAACTGGAACCGTTACTAATAGGAGATAAGGGAATAATGAACAAGCGCGGTAGGTGAAAACAACACAACAGCCAACAGGAAAACATGAATTAACAGCTTTAGGGAATGTCTTTGTCCTTCAACCTTCCCACAGTTAACATCTACTTTATGTCCACCTACGAATCTCCTCTACCATCCGTGTAAGATGTTCCTCGTATCTTATGTAAATCACTAGATGATGACCTGCTTTACTCCGGCGACTTGGCAGGAAATTGTTCACGTGGCAAAATACATGAATGAATGCAGCAATATATTGCGTCATTATGACAACTACATACACATCAACCATTACTCATTCACATAGTATTACATGTATGTTAAGTCTAGTTTTTTTCATTCATTAGCTTGTTTGTGTATAAAGATAAATAAATAATACAGTATTCTAGAAAATTCGTCTCCACAACGAATATTTACAAAATATAATTTACCAGTGATGAGCATATTAATCTCGAATGTAACATTATGGAATTTTACTTACGGAATATTTTGAGGCAGAAACCTATTTGATTTATTTTGCTGGACAGACATATTTTGAGCGTTTTTGTATACAGTTTTATATGCCAGCAGAACACAGTTAAGTTAATGACTTAATAGTTGTGTTGTTTTATTACTGAAATGATGCGGAAGCAACTTTAGCAATGAACGGAACAAGTTATAATGCGCTTTCATGACCCTGATACTTGGTATGTGTCCTATACGATCTGTAAACGTGTAAATACACCAAACTTTGAATATTCTATGTGTTGAAATTGTCGAGAATGGTTGACATCCATATTCTGATGTAGTTAAAACTGCACCAATTGATATTTGGGGCTAAATAATGTAATACTTTATGCAAAGTTATTTTCTAAAATTTTGATCAATGTGATTTTTTTTTTCAATTATGGGATATTAGGCTTGTTTTTATGCTATTCCGATTCTAAGAGTTTTAAGTGATGTATTTAACACAATATCAACGAAACAAAAAGTCAGATTTTGATTGAAACGGTCCTTCACACTGTCTTGGCCAATCAAAACGGTCCTATCACCTACTCTCACCTGCATCAACTTTACTGGCATTACCGACAAACCCACTTGAAACTGAGAAAAGTGAATAAGAAGAAAAAAACTAAAGGTGTACTACTTCAGTAGAACAGGTGCCCTCGAATACCTGGTATATTTTTCTGCTACACTGAAAAAACGGTTAAAACACTACATTATGTCGTGGTCCTTTAAACACATCTCTACACATTGTGTCCACTAACCATTGAAATGTTTAGGTAATTACCGGTGACATGACATTTAAGAAAGTTCGTACTGAGATGGGCGTTTTCAGTGTTGATATTTCTGCTGGAAAAATACTTGAACGTAACATTACTGATATCATTCTGTTCTGCAATACTACAATGCATAGCTCCTGTGGGTGGCATTTCCGATGATAATTGTAAACCGTAGTTTTGGAAAACAAAACAGTGTCGTTCTAAACGTAATACATCTTGCTTTTCTTGTTAGTTATTTATCAGCGGTGACACGTATCTTTTCGGGTCGATGTTTAGGAATTACGTACAGCTTAAATAAAACGCTTTCCCTGGTTATGCTATGGAGAAAATGGAGACAAGTTTTAGATAGGTTCCTATATACGTTATAAAATAAAAACCGCTTAACGCAACATAATCAAAGTAATTGTTTCTGAAAGGTTTTGTTTATCACTTGGGACTGAGTCATTCACGTGGCGGTACTGCGTCAGTCATTGTTTTTAATACTTTCACCTCTGATTCACCACAACGCTTGACTACTCTTACATCTGAATCACAGCTACGCTTTAAGTATCTTCTATTATATAAGAGATGGTCTTAGCGACATCTTAACTATTTAACAACACTTCCCTAGCAACACTTCCTAACAACACTCCTGCTTTGTACCAACACCGACACATGACCACCATTAATGCATTGTGGATGAGTAAAATGAAAAATACATCGCAACGACGAAAATATCACTTAAATTGGACTGTCATTTTCCGATTTAAGTGGATGTCGAACGACAACTATGTCAGTGCCTGCCTTTTGGCATTCTGAAATAATGTTACAGTGTATGAAATGTTTCTGATATGTATCCGTCCATCTGTCCATGTCATTGATTATTTGATATGATAACAGAAACGGTTTGACGTCCTTATCAATGACGAATTAGAATTAGAAATATTTCAATGCATATGTTTTCGAAAGTGGTAAGACTGATTCTATCACTTTATCAAATGTTTTTGTTCTTGTTTGGAGATAACTGAAATAGTTTGCATTCAAACTGTTTTTATACGCTGTCAACGTGATGACATTGCTAACGAAGAAATACAGATGTTTGGCACCAAATGATAACCGACGTTGGCAATGTCACTTTGTTGTAACGTCTGGTAACGTCCATATTAATGATAATAACTTAACACGTTATAGTAGGATCAACACTTCACGTCATTTACTAGTCACCATGACAACACCGAGTCACAACAAAACTTAACGTCAGTTACTAGTCACCATAACAACACACGACTCACAACAAAACTTTACTTCAGTTACTAGTCACCATAACAACACACGACTCTCAACAACAATTTACGTCAGTTACTAGTCACCATAACAACATTCAACTCAAAACAAAATTTTAATTCAGCTACTAGTCACCATAACAACATACAACTCACAACAACACTTTATGTCACTTACTAGTCACCATAACAGCACACGACTCACAACAAAACTTTAAGTCAGCTACTAGTCACCATAACAACACACGACTCACAGCAAAACTTTAAGTCAGTTATTATTCATCATAACGACACATGACTCATAAAACACAAAAGTGTAGGTGAACGCGATACCTAGATCCTGTAACAACGTAGCAATTTAATGAAATAATTAATGAATAATGAGACTTCATATTACACAGTATCCGATGATTTGTTGGTTTTCATAAAGTTTCATCAACTGTAGAATCCTCGGCTTGTTGACATTCCCTCAGTCAAGCCGTAGTGTCCGGTTAGAAAACGAAAAATCGCTAGTTCAAACCCAAGCGATGTCAGGGTGTTTTTCGTCACCCCTTCCTATTACAAATTATGTGCCATTGATCACTGCAAAGGAAGAAGCTAAAGGAGATTGAAATGCTTCCTTGGATATATTGAACCTAGGTAGTTGTTGTCTTCGTGGTCGAAGACTTTGTGAGGGTTAGAATAATGTATATGTTGAAAGTACTGTTTGCCTTAATAGATAAATAGAAATAAAAAAAGACACACAAGTGAATAACACCTTTTTAATACCAATTTAAAGTCAAATACAGTACAACCAAATAAGGCACCGCCTTACAATATTAAACACATGAGTCGCTGTTGACTTCATTTAACACGTGTACTGTCCCTTAGGGTGATGTTACCATTCAAAACCACGTGGCTTATAAATGACTTAAAGCTACATACAGTGTCCATGGTGTGGTGGTTGCATCTAACCATAACAACCTTAGAAGACCTCATTACGGAATCTGAGCTACGACGATCGAGTCAAGTTGAACACATTACAATAAGAGATCACGTTATGTCATGCCCTGTGATTTTGTTCCGCGGTATATAAGAAGATCACGACTTACATCTGTGCGATATCGACAGCTACTTACTGTCTGACTTTGATCTTTAAGACTTTTTGCTCCTCCTTCTTACACTTGTAATGATAATAAATCACTAATGAAGGTAACATACGGTAACTATTACATTCATATAGGAAATCACAGGGCACACACAATCAGTTGCTATATATACATTTAGCAATATACTAATGAAGCTAATTATGACCAAAGTGATGTGAATTATGTCATACCTTTTGATTCTTTGATCATTGTCGAAAGTAGAAGACAAATGTTACGTTTAAAGTCTTTTAAACTCATCAGGTGATTGGCTGTCCAAATAACCCATTGTCTGTGGTCCGTCTGTCTGTTTAGCAAGATTTTGTTATCCTATTTCTTCTGAAGTTGTGGATTGGTCATTCTCAAATACCACATGAAGGGTTTTCCTCAGCGCCTAGTCGTGCATCATCCCATTTTT